CTATCAACGCCAAACGCACAAGTGCCATGATGAACAGAAAGCTGCGCATGCCATTTGACCAAACACGTTGCCCACTGTTAGCGAAAGGAACCGCAGAATGGAATGGGATTTTAACCGGCGGAATGGAGCTAAGCAACGATCGTTGATGCCAAGGCAGACAATGCTAGTACGGGACCGTCGAGCAGGTCACGCAAATTCGACACCTGAAATGACCACAGGCAAGCGCGGGGATGTCATGTATGAAGTGCTCGTGAGAAGGCCGATTTGGGTTCGCCATACAAACCATCTACAGTCAACGCTAGACCAACCAGACAAAGTAAAGCCTGTCGAGTTTTCGTTTGACCTGTTGGTAGAAGCTTCAACCTGCCAAAGTAGCCTATGGACGACGGTTGCCAGTCCAGCGACGAAACTACACGACAGACCCCGGGACTCGCTTCTCGCGAACTTCAGCCGAGGTGATGGACTGACCGAATTCGAACACCATTCAGGAGACTACAACTCAAACCCAGACTTCCTTCATACACCGTAGATCCATCTCAAGAGTAGAGGTGTCCGAAGAAAGTAAGAATTGCTAGGAAAACCATTATTTCAGTGGTTCATCGCTTGCAATCAAGTATCACACCGATTTGTAACTTAATAAAATGCTCCAACGCCTACACGTGACTGACGCTTTCCTGAAGATTGGCTGGATCAGCGTGGCACGGCTAATTTTGGTACTTGACCGAATTCTAGAAGTCGAAAGGCATACGGCGACCTATACATATGATCATGATCTACCGCCTCTGTGCAGTTTCACTTTGACTGCGATTAACACGTTCTTTTGTATGAAGTCGTTTTGACTTCTTTCCCTTTCCCTTTGAGTTTGTGGTCCTGCGTAATAGAGTAACTGCAAGTTTCGGCATTGCAGCAAGTGAGATGATTTAACTGTGTTGGTCTACGCATTCTTTTTGGCACGACATACTATTCGCTGAGCGGTGTTTTGTTGAACCGCTACAGGGTAACAATTCGAGATTGGAAATACCATCCTCATCAGCAGCAGTAAACCAGCTATTTGGACTGATGTTGCGCCACCGTACAACCACAATCAGCTGTGGAATGAAGATAATTGAGGGGGCTAGAAGGAGATCTAGTATTAAATTTAAGCACCCTAACCAAACATTTAAGGCCAATGCTGTAAGGTCACTGACCACTCAATCCTGTAACTGGGGTGTGTATCTAACGGACTGCTTCCGAACACAAAGAAGACGAATGAGCCATTTGGCTGTCAACGATCTTTTTGATTCACCCCGGTGCCTTGCGGCTTAGGTCATTAGACCAAAAGCTCGGGGTGGGGTCCCTTAAGTCAACGCTCTTCCTCGGCCTGTGCAACCGAGAAGCTCAATGCCCACACAGCACATGGAACTTTCCATCTATTCAGCTGACTCTCACTTCCTCTTTTTGTTATTGTTAATATGTTGTGGCACTCTGCCAATTGTTTATTGGGCAAGTATATATATATATATATATATATATATATGTCAATGAGCCTACACTTTATGAGCAACCTACAGCCACAAACAGCTGACTATCGTGCAAAGGCGGCATCAGCGAGATGGCTTCCTTTCTGCTTTCATTGCCCCGTATCATGATCAGCCATGAACCCGCAAATAACAGTACCAAATGCACGTTAAACGGGCAATCCGTGACGGAAAACTCATGTCGGACGATTAGGCACCTGTCGTTCTGCAGCGTATTGGGAGTTAACAATAGGCACTGACATCGGCAATTTGCTCCTTAGCGCTTCCCCTTATCCCATCAGTCAAGAAGTCGATGAAGGGCCTCAAAACCATATCGATGGTTTTTTATTCTGTTTCATATAAAATGCATCCTGATGCTGAATGGGGAACAGCTCTACATTTCAAGCATTTTTTCGCCAACGCTAGAGGCGCTTACTGTGTGTTTATGTTCTCTACTTCCACCTGTTGGATATTCTTTGATCCCAATAAAAACGAGCTCGAGTCAAAGGGGCTTTCATGCGTATTGCCAAATGTTGTCGCATTCCCCTACGACCTAATCGCGATTGGCGGTCTGTTCCATTCGAAAATGCTGGCAATCACCATAGCATTACTGACTTCGGTAAACCGGCCGGTATAGTGCGCGCAAAAGCCGCTGAAGTCTTCTGTAAGATTGCCCTGGTCTTTATCGCCCAACTTTAAATTACCCGTGCATTTCTGTTCGACTTGTGCATACGTTACTTTATTACCCAAATGCGACTGAGGAGAGCAGTCGAAATGTCAAAACATCACAGCTTGTCTTTTGTTTGCGTTAACCAAGTGGATAAAAGGGAAACAGTATTATTTCCCATCCACAGCGTCCAACCTTGCGCTGGTTTCTAAAAAGATATCTGCGCTTTTCCTGTCCGTTGCAACGAGACTGAACCTTAACCTGGTGTGACGGTTTCCCTACCTCGTCGACCCATTGAGCTATGCTGGATGAGACCCTTGGGCCTTTTAAGAGCTACTTCTACCAGGTTGATCAGTGGTTAGAGGTTAGACGAACTCAGTCTCCTGGTTTTCTATGTTGGGGTTAGAAAAATGGGGTGACGTCCTTTTCTGTATAAACCAAATCATTGCCATCTCCGCTGCCTTGCGGACAGAGTTTTGAGCCAAACGCTTTAGTTGAGGACCCTCGTCGTCCTCCTGTCTAGGGCTGGGCGCCCTGGCAGTATCTCAGCTCACGTACAACTATGACTACTTCTTCAAACTTCAACCATATCCTGCATCGACCGTCGCTCAGCTTATCAAAGGTCGTCTTATCTGCCGCGTACAACATGGCGGATAAGCGTAAACATACTACTGCCGGTGACTCCTTTCTTTTCCACCTGTTTCTCTTACTCCCTTCCCAACCCCATTACTTAACTTTCTTCTATAATTCCCAGTTTACTTGACAGGAACCGCGATGTCACTGCCGTCGAACCATCTACGACTACCTTCCCGCACCACTCACTGGATGCCTGTCAACAACAGTCCCTTACAAGGCCAAGCTGTCCCGTTTTGTTGCCGGTGTTCAGCATTTGCACTCTAAGACAAATAAGTCAACATGCTGCACTTACATGCACATTGTACGTTGTGAATATTGACGTGTGTTGTGTCCGAAACTGGGATCAATGAAGCTCACGGGGTAGTTGAACCAACTGCATCCGGTTTGTCCTCTCGTTATTTATTGCAGCCTTCGAAGACGCTGATGTGGCAACCACTGGTCATGCTGGAGTGGACATTGTTTTCAACTCCAATGCTAAGTCATCGTTGGTTGATTGGATTCTTGTGACCAGCCGTTTGTGTGCAGCCCGTTTGATGACATCAGCTAAGGGTGACTCACGAAGTAGTACAAGACGCTGTTTGTGGTTTCCACTTATGCTCTCACAGACTGCAGTTCTGATGCTGTCAAGGATAGATTCAATCACGAACTGAACAGGCTACTACGCAGTGCTATCAGTTCGGATATCATAGTACTTGCAGAGGATATGAATGCACAAATAGGTTGCCTGGGCTCTTCAGAAGATCAGCTGGGTGGTAATTATGGGGTTAACTCTGAACGGACTGACAACGGCGATCATCTGCTTCAACTGTGTGCGGAGCACCAGCTGTTTCTTAGCTCCGCTTTTAGACACAGTGGGCGCCAAAGTGCCACTTAGCGTCCTCCTGTAGCTGACTAGCGATGGACCCAAATGGATCATGTTGCCATAAGTTACAGGTGGCGTGGTTCAGCCCTGGATTACTGATCGTTCTGGAGTGCTTGCGTCGACTCTGATCATGCCTTTGTACGCCCTCACTTATTCATGAACTTTACCGGGAGACCCACGAAGCGTCTCGCTCCATTGGCAACTCATCCCTCAGCCAGGCAAGTCTACCAGAATGCACTGCGTACCGAACTTTCGTTCTCCTGTCATGACACTGAGCTTCAGTGAAATAGGATCTCGGCCGTCATGCACGACGCAGGCGCATCTACTTATGGTACTATCAACCATCATCGCACCAGTCACTGGATACTTAAGAGGTCGGTGAACCTGTTTGAATCCATAAGAAACCTCTCGGCTTGTTCTGTGCACAATGTGACCAGACGGACTATTAGGTGCGAACTAAAGCGGAGTCTGCGCGCTGACAATGAATCCTGGTGGACCAGTCAGGCTCAACTAATGGAGAAGGCGGGAGAAGTATGGAAAACATTGACCGCTTTCCTTCGACATCCGGATAAACCCTCAGGGAGGTATATTTCATTACATGCACAAAAGGAGCACTGCTTCTTGGTGGTTTCCGTTTCTTTTCTCTTAGATATTTCCAGATAAATTTGTCCACGTATCCATTTTCGCTTAGACTTTCTGCGCAGTTCTTCACTGACTGTGTTAGTTGTTTACATATCGCTAACTACTTAAATTATGCTACATTGTAGCCCTACCATCCAATTACCAAGTTACCGTGAACCTTATCAACCGACTCCCATCTCACCAGAATCGTCGACATCCAATCTTTTTGTATGAGATTCGTCTTAGCCACTGCACATTCGGGAAAGTAATTGACGGCCGTTTCGTCGATTATGTGCGTTCCATCTGTCTCCTATGGTAGACTAAAACCGGCAATCCTATCCTTACGAATTCATGGTTCGGGCCACTTGGCGACGATCCAGCGACTCACTGTAATATATCGCCTATACCCACCTCATTCCCAAATGCTTCCCCAACACGCTATATCAAAGCTAATGACTTCATCATGTCAATAGTTGCCGTCCCCGTTTTCTCAGTGTCATTAATCACGGACTCGTAAAAGCGGAGTTGCGGTTCCAGACCCGCTGTGAATATGCGGACTGACGAAGCGGACGTCTAGTGCTTCTTCAGGTGCACAGTAACCGTCTGACTGAGTTTGATGGTGACAAGTCTCCTACTAAAATTAAATTTTTCGCCTGTTGCCCGATCCTATCTTTCGGTTTCATTCACTTACACAAGCCGTTCCTTTCCCCCTCTCCAGCATGGTATCCTCCTTTGCCTAAATCATCTCCTGGGCCAATCACATGTACTGGCCTTCTCGGAACTCTGGTACGACCTCCCGCCGAATGAGACCGCTTCAACGGAAGGTGCGGAACCTGACGTGTTGAGTCGCGCGCATCGCCCACGTATCGCCCTTTTGTCCTGGCACTGTTTAACTTTGCTCTCTGCGGCTACGGTTACCTCCATAGATTTGGAGCTTCATGTGGAACTAGTGACCCTTTGCACCGGTTGCCTTACACGTAAGTGCCGAATTGCTTAACCCTACTCAGTTGTGGTTGACACCAATGGTGTCCTCATTTCGCTTAGTGGACTCGTGAAGGATACAGTACTTTCCTCCTATGCTAACGTCTCATGTCGGTGGGAGCGTCGGAATATACTGTTTTGTTTGTCCCACATGTGGAGTCGACCCTTTCATGTCAAGAATTCAAACTCAACTGATTCATTTTGATAGGAAAAACGTCTAAATTTATCGGCTTCGTCGCCTAGTATAGTCGTGGGTCGACATTAGATCCATTCCGATTGTGCGTGGTCCCACATTTTATCGCGTTTTATTTTTCTCTTTTCAGGTTGGGCCCTTCACTGTCTCACTGAGGGTAGTATCGCCACCGGAATCCATGCGATGAGTTCGGACGTTCGCCATCCGTTCACCCGATTCGCTTTGTCTTTACTTCATCATGTGGCACGGTAGGCTCCCAGAATTTGTATGGTCCTCGAGTTTTCGATTGACTTCCAATGAATCTAATAATTTGTTCAATTTCCCTCTTTATGTGTACTCCTGTCAAATTTCCCCGCTCACCACTGGTCACAAAGCTGGATCTTACGCACAGCCCCTGGTCTGTTTCCTTCCTGACGTTTCGCTTTAATGACCCGAAGCTTTGCTTGTTTTAAACATAAGGTTATACTTATAATGATCATTCCCTTTACCCTGACTCCGACCAATTATTCTTTAGTTCACCTTGAATTCGCGAAATTGGACATCGGATTCCGTTTTACAGTCTTTTTGTTTAAAAGAATTAAATGCGCAGCAAATTTTCCCAACATTTTGCCTGCGAGTCCCCTTGGAGAGTGTTTCCCTGTTTTTATCCTTTACCTCTTGTTTTCTTTTTTACATATATACTTTTTCGTCCTTGTTGTCATCAGACTCGCTGCAATCGTTCTGTCAACGTTTCGCTTTTGTTTCAATGGATTCTAACACTCTTGGGCCCACTAGGTCGACGCGATTGAGCTTCAAGTCGCCGCTTTACACTTCCCTGGGTAGAAATTAATGCTTCGGGGATACAATAGCTTCCGGCTTGTAGTATATGCTAGCGCTGCAACATACCACAACTAATTCTTTCCTGTGGTGCGTGCGATGGTCCAAATTGCTCTTGATACAACCTTATCTTTCATCTTGTCATGCGTCGTCTTATGACCTATCCTTTCCGGTTGCGCTGCATGTTTTCTGATCCCTCTGGGAAATTTACCACAATTGGCTTCTAATCCAGACAGCTACTAAGCAATTCATAATCACCGAGTAGCCTTTCGTTTTGTTTACAATTCATTGATCGTGCACGTTGTGTCAATCCAATCGGGTTAGAATCACGACCTTGTTGTCCTTAGTCGAGTCGCTATTGTCAAGTTTTTCGCATCGATTGCTAACGACCTTAAAGGTGCTTGCCCAGCTACCCATCTTTTTTTATTGTCGCAGGCGTTCAGCTGACCTTCCTGGTCGTCGTATTTGCTATCTGACTTGCGACACCGGAGCTCACTGTCCGCCCGGATTGTGGTGAAATGCACCTTTCTGCACGACCTAGCGCTTTTGCTAGGCTTATTCTCTGTGTTCATTAGCAATTTTTTGCACGTACTCGCCTCGAAATCTTTGCTTTTCACATATTATGCCAAATAGGGCGACAGGTCAGTAGTCAAGATCATAGCTCGCTATAATGGGACATGGCCTGTGTCAAGAATGGCCAACAAAGTATCTGTTCCCGTTTAACTTGGATAAATGTGTGGTGATCCCCATACATGTATTTTGTCGGCTTCTATTATGCCAGTCTTTCGTATACATTGTGATACGCATCCTCATTTGAGACCGCGGTTGGCTTTGAAACAAACTTATGCCATTTCGATCGCTGGAATCGCATCCAAAATGAGAGTTTCCGTGTTGTTCTCTCCCAACCAACACTGTACTCCGCGACCGACTAGTGTCTTCCTGATTTGGACTCGCCAGGTATAGATAGCTTAAATGGAGAGGACAGCGCAACACACTACTTGACGGTTTACATCTTTGTCACTAGGCCAGAGCTCCACTGCAGCGCTTGATACAGCGGTTAGAAGTTCATTATTGGGTTGTGGACTACCCGCCGTGTATCGGGATTGCGTGTCAGCCGGTGGCCGAGTGGTCTATGCGCCTGGCTTGTAACCATAAAGTCACCGGTTCGAATCCGCGTAGGGGTGGGCGTCCTCGCGGTATAGCCAGCCCACACGCGACTGGTGGTGGTCGTGTGGTAACGAAGCGCCGTTACGGCGTACAGCTGACACATTACTGTTATTATCTGGATTGCGATACGCAGCCTCGTTTGTGGCCACGCTTTGGTTTGAAACAAACCTATGCCATTTCGATCACTGGAATCGTATCCGAAATGGAGAGTTTCCGTGTTGCTTTTTCCTAATCAACACTGCACCCCACGACCGACCGGCTTCGTCCTGATTTGTGCTCTTCAGATGGAACCCGGCACGTGGTTGTTGACGACTTACGCTCGAAGTCTAAATCTTGCAGACAGTTTGCCAGGAGCGATGATAGTTGAAAACAATCTCAACCATCCGAAGCAGTCCTTTACGGTATCGAAAATTCCGTCGGTCACGGAACACCTATGTGTGATTAGACCCACGTTCTCACAGCTGTTCAATACGTGCGTCAGGCCGCATGTAGAGTACCTAATTCAAGCCTAGTGACCCTGACAGAAGCGGGATCTCGCTCAGCACTCGGCAGTCCACTGCCGGGTGGTAATTCGCATCGGAAGCTGAAAACAAACGAAGTTGATCTTCATCTCACTGGCTGTCACGGAACATGCCTTGAGTGGATCGATGTTAGCATTAATTAAGTTGCGTTGTTCAAATCATTTTCTTTATTAACCTTATTACTGATTCCACTAGCACATTTGGTTGCTTTTCACCCCCTTGTAAATATACTGCTTGACCTGAGTTACTGGGAGGAGAGCGCTTCTACGCAACTTGAATTTCTTGTTTTGCCATGGGTATAATTTACGAGTTAAAATTTTTTCTGGAATTATAGCCCACAATCATGTACGTAAATCTGTGCAAACGGATTAGCAATCTGCTTGTTATTTTCAATGAGTATTGATCATAACAACTTGTATAGTTCCTTTAACATGGGGTGCTCTCTCATTCCCACAACCCTGCTTCTGTAGGCAGTTACTACTTTATAGCTTCCCCGATGGGTGTTTTATTTGGTCCACTTATGTAGTATTGCGGATTTGCAATTTCTTCCACTACCAACCGTTGTTTCATTGATCCTTCTGTCCTTTCTGTTAGCGTACTCTTCGTATTATGGCACGTATTCGAGGGAATTCGCCCGTCGACCTCGGCACCGAGTGGTGCCCATGCTGATCCGCTAAACATGTCCACAACGATTGCTGCCGTAATCAATCAGATCGTACGGGCCGACTCCGCCAGCTCTGTGAATCCCTGTGTACATGCTAGCCCCGATCAAACAGCTAGCAGTGGGACATCAACTATTTTGGCAAATCCGCAGAAGCGCATGTTCGGGGTAAAAAAGTCTGTCACAGGTAAGCATTTTTTGCTCTTGAGTTTACCCCCGGTTTCTGTTTAAGCTCTACGACTGTTTCAGTGCTTACTTCTGTCTACCGTTTCCATTTTTCTCCACAGAAATCGGTGCTGGCGAACCTCGGCGAATTTTGGGCTATTTTAGCCACTTACCCCACTATATGGCGTTATACCAGACCCTAAAGACTGCATTTCAATCTTACAAAGTGCGTCGTATTTTCCTCATATTTATTTCATTATTATTAATATTATTATTATCGTCATTGTTCTGGCTGCTGCTGTCGTTTTTTATAGTTTCTTTATGGGGGTGCTGCTTGTGTGTACATTGTTCATCTGCGTCCCACCTTTGCTCATCGCGCATCCGCCGTTTCTTTTTTGTTTTCAACTTGCCACAGATTTCCGCCGATCTCACCGGATCCCAGGATCATCTCATCGTCTTATTGCAGACCTACTTGCGAACGGCGTCCCGCTTGATGAATTGCCTGCGGTTGGCTGAGATAGCACCATACTCGGATGAATTACTGACCTACGTCAGTGTGCTCTATAACTGGCAACCTGCCGGATGTCTCGAAGTGGCCACTCAAGTAGGTGTCGTAGTCCCACTCCGCCCCCTATTTGCCTTTATCTCTCTCCTCTTCTCGCAGATATTTCGCGCTTTCGTCGGTACCAATCTGATGGGTCATTGGGATGAGCCACTGAGCCGTTTGTACAACCTCGCACTGGGCTCAAAAGCAACAGCCGATGGGTCTTGGCATCTTAGCTCTGATTCGACCGCTTTGGAGGAATCCGGTGAGCAAAGTGACCTGCTTTTACCAGTCTCTCAATAGCTGTGCGATTGAGCGCGTTTATCCTACACAGCTGTTACCGGGTAACTGATCCACTTTACCAAATTTGATCAACTTACACTACCGACTATGTTTTGCCATCAACACTCTTTCGCGCCTGCTCCCGTCTCCCCTCTCGTTTTGTAACCATTCCCCTTCCGTGAAGTGCATCCATATCATGTCACCTGGATTCATGGGTAACTCCGTTCCTCTTCTCTTATCTTCTCCTCTCGGGTTTTAAACTATTCAAGGAATAGACAGTCTCTTCGATACTTTGTGGCTCCGGTGCTCGCAACGCACTCAATCGCTTGTGTCATCTGGTTCATTGATCACCCCGTTCGCCTCATGGCTGAGTTGTGATCAATTGTCTCGCGCTCCGATCACAGCCTGGATTCGGTTCGCACGCCAGTGGCGTGTCCCACTTCCTCTCACTTCCAAAGTCGCTGAAATTAAGGTGAGCTCTTGTTTTTCTCCACTTTTCAGTGTGTTTATGAAACGGCTTCATCTCACACCCACTGTTATCCATCTCCACAGTAGTTGCATCCGTCTTTCTGGTTGGATGCCATATTGTTTTGAGTCTGTTTTCTTGATCAAAGTTTTTCCCTAGTTTCAGAGGGTCCACTGACTATGGGCCGTAAACTGTGAATTCTTTGTGCCCATATGGGCACAGTGTACCGGCGTCAATGGAATAAACGGTCCGGTATAAACAAGCAGAAATTGCACGTTTCTAGGCAGAACAATCTGAATTTGCATTCTGTTGACACACACACACACTATACACGTTAGCTAGAGGTGGGAAACATCTCAGCTACTGTGCGCAACACCTAAAAGAAAGAAGGGGAATAAACTGCAACAGGTGCAAGCCAACTGAGCTACCGGTAACAGATGGGCATCGTTCCGGTAAGCTACCAGCCGGCTACTATATAGCAGAAAAAATTAATTTCCTATGCAAAATTATAAAATGCTAAATAATGACATCGTGATTGGAGGGGGAGGCTAAGAGGGATGGGGTGGGACAAATAAACTCACAACACGAACGCCACTGAGGTCAGCTCCTAGCCATATCAACAAGTGTATCCAGCCAAACGTGTTCATTGTCTTTCGGACCTCAACCAGGGAGCCGAGAGGCTCCAACTGAGGCCAGCTTCGAAGTGAGGTCCTTCATTCCTCTCGACCAGGTCATTGCTTGACCACCTCTCCTCTTCTTCCATCCACACCCGGGCATGCAAACAGCACACCTCGCGGGAGTCGGTGGGCTGGCATGCGTAACTGGTGGCCGAACTATCGGAGCCTGATGCGTGAAATAACGGTGCTGAGCGGTTCATTTTCTTTTCCTGTGCCATATACAAGGCGTCGAACACGCTTGTTGCTCACGCGGTGTTCCCACCAGATGTGAGCTTAATTACGAAGGCACCGGTGGTCGAACGTAACTAGCCTCTGCAGGTCCACTGCTTTAAGCGCCCAGGTTTCACAACCGTACAGTAGGGTCGAACGTACTGCTACATTGTACACTCTACCCTTCAGGGCAAGAGTGATGTCTCGCGGCCGCCATAAGTGGCGAAGATTAGTAAAAGCGCCGCGAGCTTTTGCTATACGGTTCGTGATCTCATCTTCAATCCCACGGGCGCTGATACAACTTCCCAGGTAGTTGAATTTCTGAACGACTTCTAGCTGATCCCCACCAAGGGTCAGCGCAGGAGGCGATCCAGACCAATCTTGGAGGAACGCTTTGCACTTCGAGGGTGCGAAGCAAAGCCCGAAGTGACGGACAGCTAGTGATAATCTGTTCAGTGCCGCTTGGCACGTTTGTGAGCTGTCACAGATGAGGGCAATGTCGTCAGCATACTCTAAGTCAAGAAGTCGTTCTCCTGGGAGTAGCTCCACACCTTCTAAGTCGTGTCCTTTGAACCCGATTTCCATGACTTCGTCAACAGCGAAGTTGAAGAGGAAAGGTGACAACGGGCATCCTTGTCTCACGCCGCTGGAGATATTAAAGGGCGACGATAACTTGTCGTAAGCCCTCACTTTGCCCGAGCTACGCGCATATAATGCTCGGATAATATCCACATATTTCTCAGGTACACCATTCCTGAGTAGACAGTCCCAAACTGCACGTCTGTCCACCGAATCGAATGCACTTTTGCTATCAAAGAACACGACAACGGTGGGCCGCCAATATGTGTGACGGTGCTCCAACAACTGACGCAAGGGGAAGATGTGTTCAATGCAGCCACGACCTCAACGAAACTCGGCTTGCTCTTCACGAATATGGTTTCACAAGTGCCAGTCAGTCTGCGATGGATGACAGAGGCAAGCAATTTGGAGGTGATGGAGATCAGACTGATTCCTCTATGGTTGCCGCATTCCGATCGTGAGCCTCCCTTGAAAATTGGGACTATGGCGGAGCGGCTCTAATCGGTTGGGACAGTTTCCTGCTCCCACAGTTTCACTAGTAACTCGTACAAATCGTCCACAAGAGCAGGTCCCCCGAATTTGAAGAGGGCTGGAGGAAGATCATCTGGTCCCGCGGCTTTATTTAACTTCAACAGTCCGATCTCACGTTCGAATTCTGAGCGAGAGGGTGGATCTAAAGGGACAGCCCACGGTGCGGGGCGATCAGTGGCCGGTGAAAAATCTAACCATTCCGACTGATTAACTTGCCTTTCAAAGTGCTCAGCCTAACGTTCCAAGCGTTTAGACAAGTTGTGGATAGGCTGTCCACCCTCGTCACGTATAGTTTCACTAACACCAGGTCTTCTGCTGTCCGTTTCCCGTATCAGCCGAAATAACTTACGATGGTTACCAAGGGCAGCGACCATTTCCTTCTGTGATGCATGATTAGACCACTAGGATTCGCGGTCTCTCTTCAGGCTAGCTGGGATTTTTGCGCGGAGCTCTTTGCGACTTTCATTGTGTTCGGTTCCAGCCGGAATATGCCGGCGAGCATCGATAATTTTCGGAGACCGCGAAGAGACCCAATGTCCATGTTGGCGATTAGACACCACATGAGGATTTGCCTGCTGCTAGTAAGGACTGGTGAATATGAGACCAGTGAGCTTCAACTGCATCCAGTGAGCGCTTGCTCAACTCGCATGACAGCTTACTTTGATAGGCATTCAGAACAGCTGGTTTCGTCAGTTGGCTGGTGTCAATGCGCTCACATCGTCGTCGTGGGCGTCCGCCAAAACGCATCCGCAGGTCAGTGCATACAAGTGCATGGTCGGTGTCCACACCTGTGCTCCAAATCGAGCGACAGTTCTGGACGCAGCCTCTCCATCGGTAACTTATCGCAATGTGATCGATTTTCGTTACATAGCTAGTTCGAGGCTGGTGGGCGCCAAGTCACCCTCCGGCCGGTGCTGTGTCGGAACTTAGTGCTCGCAAGAAATAAGCGAGCATTTTCACACAAATGAAGTAACCGCTCACCGCTTTCATTACGGAAGCCTACACCATGTTGGTTCCGCAGATGCCGTTCATCAGTAGATAATTTTCCAACTTGAGCGTTCAAATCCGCAGCCAGCACAACAGTGTCCGAGCTTTTTCTGTTGCGTAGGTGCTCGTTCAGTTGACGACAGAAGTCGTCTTTTACCGGATCATCTCTAAAGTTTGTGGGTGCTTAGGCAGCGATGACGAATAAACACCTGTTAGTCCCGCGCGACTTCGCAGCTTTGAACGAGCCAGCCAATTGGACCGCACACATCCGGCTACTGATTGGAATCCAGTCAACCAGAGTAGCTTCACCCCGGGGACTCAGGGCAATATCAACACCAGATTGGCCGGTGCTCGAAGCTGCATCGTCACCGGATAGGCACAATGAGAACGTGCTGCTGGTGTCACCTGAAGGGGATGGCAAAGTGAGCTCGAGTCTTGTAGGCGAGTCTCCGATAAACAGCAGATATCGATCGAGAGGGTCTCTAATGTTCGGGCAAGTGCTGCCTGTTGACCGATCTGAAGCAATGTGCGTACATTGAGGCATGCCAATCTGAAGGATAATCGAGGGCTCCAAATGGAAGTCGTTGAACTGGAATGGACTGCTTGGTTAGACATGGGCTTGTCGACAGGACAGAAATGACATTCCGCGTTAGCATGTGAGTTGAAACTAGAAGGTAAAAGCCTATCAAAGCAAGGTGGGGAAGGGCCAAGAATTGGGGGGTTGAAAACTGGGGGGGATAAAAGTGAAGGTGGAACGGGCCGGTAAGAGAGAAAATGCGTAAGAGGGGGAATAAGAATATGGAAAGCCTTGAGCAGTAGCATCCAAACCACTATGCACCCTGTTCAATGCAGCAGATAGGGCACCGTTGATTATCCTCTGCAGTGGCTAGAGCATCATGAAACAGTTTGAAGAGGAATTCATAGTATTGCGTGGACTGGATACTGTCAGGTTGCCCAGGCCTAGACAGGAGAATGATTGGGGTTCTCAACCAAAGCCTTTGGTTCAAAAACCTGACCGCAAGGCAGCGGGTTTGGCGCTGGGCTACAATGAGTTCGTTTCGAGGAATAAGGAGCCACCTCCATTCCAACCCCCAACCTGGAGGACCAGGTGGCTGATATTGTCTGGCCTCTAACCATTGACCAATCTGGTATGAGTGGCTCTGAAGGTGCAAGAAAAGCACCACCCAGCATAGCTCAATGGATCGCTGAGGCACACAAACCGTCGAACCACGGTAAGGTCCAGCCTCATTGCGATGGATTCTGTTGACAGGAGAGCGTCGAATGCAAGCTTTCCAGTCAGGACAGCGTATTCCCACTATACCGAAACGTTTCTTGATAATGAATCCCATACAATGCGGAATATCATGAGGTTTTCTCAAAAATGTCAGCGAGGAGCAACAATGGTGGCTTTGGAAGTTGCTTAACCAACCTAATGTCAATATATATCGGGAAGACTGGTGTATCCGCAGCAGATACCGTAAAATACGATGTTCCAGTGAAAATAGCAACTGCGATTCTCAAGGCCCGTCTTTATATGGTACTAATGTTAGTACTCGTACTAGTAATATTCATTAAGTTGATACCAATATTAATCATTTCACTTTGCTTCTGCAAGTGAAGTCACTAATGTTGGAAGTACGTTCTTTTCGGCTAAAGTCCATGGGGTTGGCCTTGTTCTCAGCTAGACGCTTTACACCGTTTGCGCGTTTCTTCTATGTGGACTACTTGGTTGACACTTTTCTGATGCTGAGTTCTCTGCACCGTTAGGCTGTATATGAGGTGGGACAGTGGAAGCTCAAAGGAAGCTGTCCCGCCGATGCCGCCTTATCTTCGTACGCTAGCTGTTGTTTTGTGACATCGTGTTGACATAGTGTGAGCACTTTATCCATTAATGTCCGCTAACGATGCTTGGGTTTTACACCATATACCTCCTGCACATGGCCGTTCACTAGGTTACTATAATCCTATGGTAACGAAGCACCAGTTCAAATTACTCTTATTTTGCTCTCGATGTTGATGTGGAGGAGGTGGTAGGTACATTCTCGCCTACACAAACACACCCCTATGACACTTTGTTCCCAGTCCATCCATCCCAGACTACTAGGGCAATGTAAATGGCTTTTTTGAAGTAATTTGCCATCTCAAAGTTCCAAACTTTCCGCAGTATTTATGCCGTTGACTCATTGAAGTCACGGGGTAGGCTCCCATGAGCAGTTCTGCATGCCTGCGATAGTCATTTATAAGTTAGGACAGCTGGTCTGTGACCGAACGCCTCAGTGTATATGCGACAAACGATTCCATACTTAGCGATAAGTGCTTTTGACTGTTGATAGGTCCACAAATTTCATAATTCATGCAAAAAGACTGCAGTGGAAACACGAGTCCATAACCCCAAATCTGGTGTGTCTAACTTGAGCAACATTAAAGGAGTGCAGATGCCTGTGTAAACTATTTGGATTCTGATACGTGTCGCATTTGGCTGCCTCCTTCACTATGTGCTCTCTTTCCCTCTTCTATCCGTTCCCATCATCTCTAAGCTCATAGGTCTGCTTGTTGACTTAACGGGGCTATGCAGTTAGCATTGTACAAACATCCCATATGGTTTCGTAACATTTCCGTGTTATCTCGCCTTACACACAATAACGTCGGAGTTTACTTTACTGACTATCACCGTTTTTTACCTCTTGCTTGCTTCTCTCAGTGAGGGAAGTTACCTTGTGTATCGGAAATTCTCTTCACCTTCACCGAACTTTACCTAATCCTCAGACCTGGCGGCGGTCAAGTGATACATCTTACTTAAATCAGGGTGGGGGTTTCGGTGATTTTTTCTCTAATCCCTGCATTCCACGGCCGATGGTTTCGTTCTTTTTTAGCTCCTCAGGTAGCACGAGGTTTATACACCCAGTTTGGTGCTTGATCCGACGCACTTGCGCGTAACGTATACCACACAAGTTATCTGATCCTTCAATCGACTTCCTCCCCAACAGTCTCATTCGCTTGTTTCAATAGCAAATCCAGTCACTTGACGCCCACCTGTCATTGCATGTGTTTACCCCCTAACTCTTCTGTCCCTCCTCCTCCTGCTCCCATTCCAATTGGTGTTCCTCGACGAAGTCGGCCCTCACACACTTCTTCACCCGGTTCGAACACATCGTTTTACGAAGTATGGAAGAATACGATCGGACTAGCCGGTTCGCCTTACAACCGAACATTCTCGATCTGCTCAGCCATCTCATTTGCCTGAGGTTTAATTACGCACAGCTGGATGCAGATCAGGTAACTTCTCTCTAAGTTGCTCACTTTCACACCCGCATTCCAAATGTATTTTTTGTAATCTGGGCCGCTGAAGGACAGCTTTGGCTCCCCTTTGCACTCCACCGTCTTCCCCCGATGGAACACAAACTGTGGGAACATGTCTAGTATCACTCGTTTTCCACAGCGTATGTTTCCGGTGATCTGAACTTCCGCAGCTTGTTTCCGTTCAATTCATTGTGCTAACTTATGTATGCTTTCTGTATCGCCCTTCATGCACAACCTTGGTCATCCAGTCGACGCCTGATGTTCCTTATTAGGTTCAACTCATTTCTCTCATTTTTACAAATCCGTTGTGAGTATTTTGACATCTGAGATCTTTGTTTCTCACTCAGGACTGCGCTGTTCTCATCCCGTTCTGTGTGCAATAGGACGATTGGCACGCTAGTCTGGCAACTATCCTCATCCATGTAGCTTGTTACTTCCACGTCCCCACCATAACCACTCTTCTTTGCTCGCTGAAACATCGTATCTTCCTCTCCGATACGAGATCATGTTCCCACCATCCTTATAAACCGTGTTCCCTATTATGCCTTCCTTTTGAAGCATCCGTTGTGTGAGAATTGATCGCGATACTCAGTCTCCCAATATGGGTCGCGATTTACACGTGGATTTCGGCCACCTCAGTCATGGGGATCATAGCTGAAACAGATGCATCTTGCCCGTTCGCAACTCGCTGCACTCCATGACCGGTTTCGAACTTGGTTACGCTTCTCACATAGTACCAACAGTGCTACGAAAGGCTGTGACCAGCGTTGCACATCCCCACCTGCTCTGTCTAGGGGTGGTCTTATCTCGCCTTGGTTCCAATCACATTTTTGTGCCTGACGAATGCGAACGAGTTCGAAACCGTTCGTGAAGTGCAGCGCGGCCAGCAGGTAACGCCACTACGACTAGGCGGCCAAGTTGTCTCAGTCCGAAATTTCTCATTTTGTTGTGTCACTGCTCGTGGAACCAAAACTCACTCACTAGGCTTACTTCGGTGGATCAAAATGTTCTCGGTCCAATATAGAAAGAGGCCAAGCATTCAACTCATCCTTTGTCACTTTTCAACAAAATCTCCCATCACTTGAATGCATTTAATCCAGTGATTTTCAAGCATTGCTAACGCTGTGTGGAAGATGGTCGAAGACTGTCCCTCAAAACGGCTCCACTGCACTAATTAGCTCATCATTATGCGCAAATCTGTAACCATAGGGATGAGATTTCACTCTATAAAACTGATAAACGCCTGAAATGGTTCAGATCCAGTGAATAAACGGGGGGTAAGCGTACTTCAAAGATACTGAGGGCTGCGTCTGACGCGGCCAATTCAAAAGATTAACTACTGCTGCGAGCATTTCCCGTTTTTCTTTAACTGCTTCTTTCAGTTGGCGTATTGTGAAATGCACCATCCACCTGATATGGTCTACCATCTCATGACCAAACCTTCAATTGGGGGACCCCAACCTCCCCACCATGCTTACAAGCTTAAGCCACGGAAGGCAATGGAACTCGATTCAGACAAGTACACGTGTTTCGATTAGCCTTCCAATTCGTGAGACATTCACGTCTTGACTGACCTTTGTACCTCAGCGAACATTCCTGTTTCCGGCCAACCTTTGCAATCATAAAATATTCAGCATTTTTACCTAGGAAACATTCAGTTTTCCAGTCCAGCCTCCGCATCTACCAACATTCACTTTTCACCATGTTCCGTTGGCATATTTATATAGTGCCAATTCAGTTGCTTCCATGATTTGCTTACGCAAACCATTGGCACCATCGAGGTATAAAAGAAACGCTGGACTGCGCTGTAATCGCCTTGAGCCTGGCTGGTAAAAGTGCCTACGCGAAAGGCCTGTCTTTTTCTCTCGGGGTTGGGTAGTTGCGTGTGAAAGTGCATTCGGTCTAGGAGCCCGTTCAACTCGCGCGTAGTAACCGTGTTGCGTCTAAGTCTCACGGGTCATACAGCTTCGAATTTTGTTGGTTACTTTGTTGTGCGTGAAATAGTTCCAAGCCACATTCGTTCGGCCGGCTAGGAGAGTTGATACCAGATCGTCAGAGTGTGGCGTAACCAAGAGGCAAACTAATAGCGACACTTCTTGCTCTACAATCCGGTAGTACTCATGTCACTGCGACTCATTTGGATCCGTCAGAATTCCACCTCCTTACTCTTCTTATCTCTCATATCTGTATTCGCCCGTATCATCCGACCTTATTCATCGTATGGCCGACATTCAGGTCACCCGAGAACGCGATTCCATTGAAACATGTCGCTTCGGTTATACCTTTACTCCCTCACTCGCGAATTCTTGCGTATCTTACTCCTCGTTCTGTGATTGGATTAGTTGCTTGACACTCATCTTCGGTCCAGCACTTATTAATTTTTATTATGGCGACACTACTGGAGAAAACTGGAGGAATCACTGTTGTTTGGCTGCGTTAGAGATAAAACCAGGTGCGTATGCCTCTTCCACTACGCCTTCATGCACTGGGTTTTTCAGTGGGGGCTCCGAAGAAATTTTCCCCTCCTGTCTTCTCCATCCTGTTGTCAACCGCTGTGGTTCGCCATCACCATTATTCCCTATTCGCCCATGCTGAGACGGGTTCCACTAGAGGAATATTCTAAACGAGACATCCTCCACGTTCTTATCAGCAGGGTCGACAATTTTCTTCCACATTTTTACGAACTCACTTGTCTGCTCACTCTGTTTAATCAATCTTAGCTCGCCATCTAATATCGGTTACCTATTCACTCAGCAGAATCATCAAGTGGGAGCAACCTGCTTCGAATCAGTGCCCCTCTGACTCTATCAGATACATGGTTCACACCTCAACCAATTTGGCCTGCGGAAGCAGTTTTTCGCACCCAGGTTTCAACTGTGCTATGAAGTTACAGCTTGTTGGTTTATGATTTATTGAATCCACGTAAATCACATGACCATATTAGCCTACATCCATATCGGCTGAATTTACATGAATCACCTACATGCTACCCGCTTCTCTCTCTCTCTCTCTCTCATCCCTGTGTCTCATTGTTTCGATCGACATTGTGATCTTGCCCTCTGTACACACTCATTTCGAGCAAAAGTTTCAGTCCGGACCGAATTATGATTTTTTTCTTTTAGCACTTTTTAAAAACTGTGCTTCGTCACTGTGAAAATCTATTTCTGGAGGTACCCCGTGAACACATCCTTCGTGGCAAGCCAACCTCGTCTTTTGCACCCAATAACCCCTCATTGGACAATTCACAAGATGTGCCTCATCTGGCCGCTTCGATGTTTCGCTTTTTCATCACTCTGGTCTCTCATCACGGAGCTTTGTCGAAACCTGCTTCTGCATCACCAGACTTACCTTCACCAGAACAAGCGTGGTCGTTCGATTTCAATCAAGTAAGTCACACACACTTAGCTGCTCCATAGTCTATCCGTTAGAGGTCAAGTATGGCTAAGTACCCCAATACGCCGAACACACGCGGCCTCAATTGACTTTGAGCTCCTCACAGTTTCCTCGTCTCTCTTCAATTGCTTGAAGGCGAATTCATTCACTCTGCGTACCGGGTCACCGATCCGTAGTTACTGATGCAGAGGCCTCTACAAGCATCGCACTAAGCCAACCCAGTTAAGCCGTATCATCAAACTGACAGTTCACGATCTACCAAGACCGGTGGAAGTGTAGTCACTGTGATCTAATGAACTCTGCGGGGGACCTCTGTTGTTGTTTCGCGTTGCAACCTTTCACTTTGCAAGCACTCATCTCTGCAGTGGTCGTGTAGTTCACTTCGCTGTGTGCTCCTTAGCCGAGTAGCTCATATCCTCAACTTATAGTTCGCACCAGCAATCAACACCACTGTTGCAACTCTGAGTCATCTATGCTCTCTGCTTGGCGCTCCAATTCCACCGGAAGGCAAACAATCTCAATAACGGGCTGTCATTGGGTTCGATGATCAACGGTTGCATTTATAGGTCAGTCACAATTGTCCATGTGGAATTCCGCGATCTCCAATCGTATTGGCCTCGGTGTTTGTTGGACGGTTTGATCTTGCTTACTGTATTAAATAAATTTAAATAACTTGGTTTATTTATCGACTGTGCCAGACACGGACCAGTGTGTTGGTCCGATCGAATTGTACAAGTGCTTCACAAATGTGTTGATGATACAGATGAATGGAAAAAGGAACGGTCAGTCAGACCCTTTAGAAGAACAGTGTCAATCACATGTTGATTGGTAGTTCGCGAATGTCTTGCAATATAGCATTTTTTGCTTAGTCAATTGCCTACATATACTCGGCATGCGGTCTAGTCTATTACAGCACAGTAGTCGGGAGCGGCTTGAGCTTGATTGTTTCGTCATGCAGCAGAATGCAATCCACACGCCAAGCAACCAGACGTATGGGAATATTTCACCGCAGCATTTGGACGAGGCTCGGAGGAAGGGATATGTTGGAAAGATAGAACGGTGGACAGGTTAATCGATTTGCACGCAGGGAAGACTGCCGTAATTATGTCAGTTTTAGCAAATTTAAAATATTGTGAAGCAAATATGATACAGGTTAATAATAATATGTTCAACAGCATACGGTGAGTAACCATAGGTAAGAGAGGCATGCATCTTAGCTAATACTATACTGTTCGAGATGGCCATTCATTAGTATGTGTCAGGCCTCCATTCCTTTATTTCACCAATGTGCCTGTCACTATTTCTGGATCTGTAGCGGAGACGGTACTCAAACACTAATTACATGGTACATCTATCATTAATGGTACCTTGATATGCGCGCATGGGTATCTTAGACAGAGTTAGCAATAGAAAGCATCGCTCTTTGCAAGATGATTGCAAAGGAATAGTGTAACAGTTGTCGGTTACGAAAGAATGAGGGCTCGGCTGACCTTCTTCTTAAGCATCTATGTGGTCATGAAGGCCTTGAGATAGGCATGGCCGCTTAATGTGAGGATACAACAGGAGTCCAAGAAGTGCAAACGAGGACTCGGTTTACTTTCCATCGTCGACTTCCATGTAGGCATGAAAACCTCGAGGTCGGCCTGGCCGAGTAAGGAAAGAATATAACATTGGTCGGATGAATGAAGAAGAGAGCTCGGTTTAACGCCTCTCTTTAGCCACCATATTGATATGGAGGCCTTGAGGTTGGTATGGCCGGGTAAGGAGAGAAAGTGCTAAATTTTGGAAAATATGGCATGAAAATTTGGTCTTTTTTCTTTCTTTTTTTATCTTCTGTGATGTCAATGAAGATTTTAAGTGTAACACCGGGAGGTACCACGGACATGCATCATATGCCCTTTGGTCCCTTCTGATAAATCTCCGTCTCAACAATATTCAGCTTGAAAAGTTGCATAGCTTTTGGAACTGTGGGAAAATTAGCTAGCTCTACACGAAACATGTGAGGAGATGTACATGCTCTAATGGACAGTAGGAGACGATTCCAAATCAACGCATATCTGATGAGAGCAAAGTTTGCCTGCATGATGGTACGCGACTTTGCAATCGCAAGTATGCCATTTTCTATCACGGATAAGGTAACCTTTATTGTACTGTACTTGAGGAGAGTATCCAGGTGTATGAATGCGTCCATGAATTACATCCAAAAGCCGCAATATGTTTACCTTTATTCTACGCAGCCATATGGGGTCCAACATCAGCGATTTACAGCGTTCAGAGTATATTAACCTCTGAGCAGTGCCCAGGATCTGTTTTGTAAAAGCACGCTGAACGCGCTCTAGTGTCGCTGTGTCACTCTGTCTTGCATTACCGAATACCATACAATAGTACTCTAATCTTGGGTGTGTACAAGTCTTGTACAATGTAAGTTTAACATTTCTTAAGGTAAAGAGTTTTAGAAACAGTGCATTATTTTGCTTGGCTTTAGCGACAGTGTATTATACATGTTCAGAGAAGTTCTGGCTGCTGGAGTAGTGTAGCCTTAAGTCTCTTACTTAGTTCCCGAACAAGGTTAGCGGTTGGACATTCATATCACATTTGTATGAGATGTCGTTACCTTTTCGGACGGAGAATTTCCTTTTTGAAGTACAACACCATACTTCATGTGTATTCAGGTCAGTTTGTATGTTTCGAAACACCGACTCTTGATTCCTTGGACCAAATGTGTACGCAACTTTTATATCGTCCGCAAACATGTAGGACCTACTATAGACAATAACGTCAAAAAGTCGTTTATATACATCAGGAAGAGAAGTGGTCCCCAAACACTGCCTTGAATGACGTCACTTGTCACAGGAGTGCGACCTGATGTGTGATTGCCTATCTTGACTGCTTGGGATCTGTCGTTAAAGTGTGAGGCGAATCAAGAAAGTAGGGTCAGCAATGCCATACCCTGCTAGAGTGGTCAAAGGCCTTTTGCATGTCAAGGAATATGACAATATATGCGTAACCACCGTCGACTGAGCTTGTGATGGGTTTAATAAGTCTAGTTGGCTACCACGGTGCACTATGTTTGGTCATCTGCTTGCGTGGCCAATCGCGGTCCTTTCGCCATGTAGCTTCATTAACGCGCTCTGAGGTCCTGATCGTTCGATGACGCTGCCCAACAAGTACCTTGGATCCCTTCAGGACACCTTTGTCGCTTAACACTGCACGACTTGCAGTCTGCATTTTGAGGAATGAAGATTCTCAGGTCGAGATGAGCCTCGGCTAGAGCCTATCGGCTCCCCTGTTGGGGCCCAAAAAACCATGAAAATGTTTGGCTGGGTACGCTTGTTGACATCGCAAGGATCTGACCTCAGTGGCATTTATGTTTTGAGTTTCCTTGCTCTCCCCTCCTGCTTAGCCTCCTCCTCCAACCCCGATCTCATTTCTGACGCATAATATAGCTTTTTTGCGGCACAATAGGCGGCTGCTGACTCTCCGGAACGATGTCCAACCGTTACTGGTGACTCAACTGACGTGCCTGTGTTGCGTCTTTTTCCCTTCCTCGTGTATTACGGCACAATTACTGAGGTGTTTCTCACCTCTATTCAACGTGGATGATGACGATGATGATGGAACAGCCTAAATCTAATTACGTCGCACGCATTGTATATAAATATTGCTACTTTGAGCTATAAACCTAGACTATATGCACGGTCTGGGCAGAAAACGGTCGGGACAGAAGAATTTGTATTATAATCTTGTGACCGTGCTTCTAAAGGGCAGCATAATATACGAGATAGGACTCACGACTAGGTTTGCAACGGTAGCGAAAACAGATAACAGTAACAGTGATGTTAAAAGCAGACCGGTGACCTTGAGAAGGTGTATGCGGATTGTATGTATACTTATGCATTGAAGTAAATGTAAGACAATACCCGTTTGAGCATGTACTGGTTTAAAGCACCAAAAGCATGTTATTAGCTCGGAAGGTGGAAAGAGGTGGGAATGGATCACTGATCTCTCAAGAGGGAATAATCGGTCTGGTGCAAGAAATCAAAGTTCTTTTGGACTTCATAATGATGGTGATGGGTTTTGACGGTCAGTTTATATTTCACAGCCATTTGTTGGCATCAGGTATGTCCACAGCTGCTTCTGACTATCATTCTTTTCACTGCATACCACCTTTCCTCTCATCGACTTTTCCACTACTGCGGCTGTTATTCTCATCATGTCAACGCAATCCCCACCACACTGTACTCTGTCCATAGTCGATGCGCTGGTCCGCACTACTAGCGTCTGTAGTCCAGAATGACTTTTCCTTTCTTGATACGAAACCTGACAGAGAATACTTACCAAGCAGACCACCCAGACTGATGGAAATCATTGCCTCACACTCTGATCTCATGAGTGATTTCAATGGGACTTGATCGAATTCAGCTATGTAGGTCTCCAGAGCGTCTCTTTGTTCGGTGGATGAGTAGGGTTTCAGTGCTTGCTAAAATCCCACGTGACCAGTTCTCCAACCGGATTATCTTGTTCCAATTTGTCCTGACATTTCCCCACGCACATGCTTCGTACCCATTTTCCTTTCATCTACCCAGATTCTCCAAATGGCGGAAATGCTGGCCGCTGAAGGCCCGGATCCCGGAGGAAGCGTATTGTCTGCCCTCGCACCAGTCGTTATTGATTTGTTCGTGATCCAGCGTTCCGTCAGCAATGAGGCATCTCCTCACGATAACAGTACGGCGGAAGGGCAGTCACAGGATCCAAGTGTCCAGTACGTAAGGCATCTTTTTTGCTTCCCTCATCTTTGATTCCTGTTTCTCGCATTTTCTGTTTTGGGGCGTGCACAGCGTCTTGTTCTCTTTATTCATCATTGTTTTTCATCCATTGTTCCAGGAGATCAGATGTGCAACGCGAGGCTGTGTTCAGTTTCATTTTGCGACGTCTGGCTCATCTGCCTGCCAGCTACGATCAACTTCGTCTCATTATGGAGGAGGCCACTTTACCGCGTCTTGGTCCCCTCGATACCCAGGAGGACCGTTTGGTCAAGATTGTTACGCAGGTACGGGCTAAATTCTTATTCCACCCGTCATTCCCCGGTCGCCGAAATTGCCATGCTCTGTCCTTGCGTTCCCATTATGCACGTAGTTGACCTTTTCCCATCATGTATCTCAGTCGATCAGATGATACGCCTGCAGTCACCTCATTCATTTATTCGTTACACACGTTAGCTGCAGGAAAATTTTCACAAGTAGTGCATTTTACCGAGTTACTTATTAACCCTAGTCCCAGCATTATTCCTCCGACTCGTCGATTGAACCCTCAGGTTCTTACATTCTATTTTCCCTCAATATAACGTTTTCAAGCAGCTTTTGGCGCCATCTTCAGTTTGAGTTGTGCCACCTGAAGCTTGCAGATGAAACGGTTTCTATGTTTCCCATACCTTCTGTCCAGTTCGCTTTCATGGAATACTGAAGCACTGAGGCTTCACAACTCCACGGCTTTTTCGAAAAATCACCCGATACACTGCACATAACTCACATTTTGCTACTTTCATCCAAATGAAGTGAACTGTCAAGAAAGAATTTAACAGGAGTTTGTCCTGCCTACCGGCTAAAGAATCTTACAATTCTCTCTATCAATATGCGATCGTTGCTCAATATGCGGGACTGTTTGCTCAAATGACATCTGTGCGCTATTGTACACTTGTAACATTCTCATGTTTATTGATGGTGTTTTATCACGTTTGTGCTAGGTAGTGTACAATGCCGAGAATGCACCAATCCGGGTGCATAAAGCTTATCTGGACTTGACATAGCCCCGCCGACCCTTCAGGTGATCGAGACACACTAACCTCTGCGTAGCAGCAACAACCTGATTATTTACCTGGTGATTTGAATTTGGGTTGGATGTGATGCTACACGCTGATTCATCCACTAGTCAAACTTGTGTCTTCTTCAACTCCCAGAACACTATGCACTTGTCCACCTTCCGCATTCAATTTTGTAATGTTCATAGTTCATCACCGACCAATAAAGATTCAAATGTCAATACTAATCGAGATCATACAGCAGGCGCTCATGATTCATATGCCTTGCGCCAGGAAACTTTGGCCTATGCAGCCGAAACAAACCGGTGAACTAAAATCAGGCAGCCGCCCGCAAATATCTGTAGTTTTACGGTAGATCAGTTGATGACCGATGCTCAAAAAGTTTCGATAGTCTGCCTTGAACTTTTGCCTAATGGTCCCTATTCTTGTGCGTGAAATAATCATGGTGAGCATTAAATACTTAGCCTAATGTATGCACTTCGCACAAAACAACTAGAGGACACCGACCAAGAAGTAACAAGGTCCGTATTTTGAACAGCTTTGCAGTTACTCCTAACAGGGTTTAGTCTAACATGACGTGCATATATGGACATCCTTCGGGAAGCAGGGCTCGTACAACGACCAGAAAACCCCGGGTTACATACGTTGAACAGTGTCCATGACTATCATATCAATTGTTCACTTGTTCCTTGAAGTTATCGAATGTCTTCTTTTAACTGCCAAAAAGCAAATTATGATCCATTATTATTCTGACTGTTGTCGAGGTGACGGCAATGATGTTTACATCAATCACAGTAGCGCTCAAGCTTCCTTGGAGTATTCGGCCATGGGGGTGTCGCCTAAATATCTGATAGGCGATTTTGCCCATTCACTATATATGCCCGGACCTGATTAAGAATTGACTAGTTTCGACGATTACCCAAGCAGTAAAAATAGTAGAGCTACCGTTTTATCATTAGGTTCAGCTCCTGAAGCTAGAATCGGTAGATTAGGCCTGTGCTGCCAACTGACCTTCTACGATGCTTAACCGACACAATACCATCCCCGTGGTTACCGGAAAGTTCATCGATCTGGTCCGTCGGCTCCGTAAACCAGGCGTTTAAATCACTTCTCATGGTCAACTCACCGAAAATGTCACCGGGCGCATTCGAATTACCTGTTTGGCTCTCTTTAATGCCTCACTCACCTTATGCAGAAACCGGAACATGGCGGCAGTATGTCAAAGCACTAACTTCCAGTCTAGCACTCATCAGTTCTGTGTATCTTCAGGGTTAGAATTCCAAGGATCAAGAACACCGCCGGTTGAAAATTTTTGAGAACATGGTGTGAAATAGAAATCGTTGGTAGATCTGAACGAATTGTTGCCTTGATTTAACTGTTCAGCATCGCAGTCATTAAATTGACAAAAGGAAACATAGTGGTGTGTGAAAAACAAAAGAAATCTCTTCATCGTCTATGCCTTTCTCTTTGTGACCATTGTAATTACTGCGTACTTTTATTCCATGTCCTGAGATGGTTCTGAATCCGTATTATGGACTGTTGGTATTATATTTATATCCCCTTCCCACCAATCAAGCAACTGTTTTTTTATCATTTTCGTCGCACATTCCCCTCGCTTCAGTTACCGCTGTCGTTCGTATCTTTCCCAACAGATTTTCGATACCATTCTCCATCATTTGAAGACCGGGTCCGTACAGGTTGACGCACCGAGGGATCTGGATTATATTCTCCTCTTGGTCGATCATCTTGCTTTGGTCCTTGGATCGCTGAGTCCTTCCACTCGCTTAGTCTGTGTGCCACTCATGGAGCGGGTGCAAGAGGTTCAGTTTAGCATGGAATATGTGAGTGATTCTTTGCATCCCAGTGGATGCAAGGATAATACATTATTGTTGGAGATTTCTTGTTTCTTTGATGATAATAATAAATAGGCGAATCCGAAATAAGTCCCACAGAGAGGTATCACCAAACCTTGTATGATCTGGCAAATGCCCGGCAACTGATAACGTGAGTGTGGGTGCGAGAGCTGTGCTATGACGCCATATCAGCTAGTCGTCTTTCTAATGTCCGCTATCTGTCCTCATTTACCTACTTTCTGGAAGACAACAGGCATCAGCACAATTCAATGTTCCGTGCTTCTTTGCTGTGTCATCGACAAGTTCATTTCGATTCAACCTAGTTGAACAACTATGGTCCGAGCACCGAACTGCGATAGATTTACTTTCTACAACTCACACTGTAAGAATAAAAATAAATAACAACGACAAGCTAGTAGGGTTGCATGCAAATAGAATGTAGCGAAAATGAAAGCTAGAAAAAGTATATTAAACCAATCAGAATGGAACGAAAATTAACAACCAAATTCAAGAAACCGAATGCAGGAACGCCACTGATTAAGTAACTGCTCCGTTTCTGAAAGGGTCTCGAGCCCCCGGTGTGGATCATCTCGAGGTCTCCATCCAGGAATACGGCACGCAGCAGCCTGACCAAGTCTCTCGGTAAATTTCCTCAAGCTTCTATGCCATGTCATGGACTAACCACTTCATGTTTTCGTCCAATTTGATGCGACCACGGCGTACAATGCACTCTGAAGAAGCCGGCCAACGGGCATACGGAGAACATGGCTCATCCAAAACCGCTGGTGTGTCAATCCAGTCCTGCAGCAGTACTTTTTCACCTTGAACGTGAAAACTACCTACCGAAGTATACAGCGCTACGCGTCAGTCTCTGCGGTGGTATTGGCATAACGACTACGTCAGACCCAAGGAGAGCTATGTCGTCCGTATACTCCAGGTTTGCCAGTCGGTCACCTGGCAGAACTTCCACTCCAGCAGAGTCTGAAAGAAAAGTGTAGTTCGTGATCATTTCGACCACGAAGTTTAAGAGGAAAGGAGATATGGGACAACCCTGGTGAACCCCACTTGTCGTGGGGAACTCAGGAAGCAGTTTACCGTAGACCCATACACGGCCACAGGTATCGCGGTAGAGAGGCTTGAGAACGGAAAATAGTTTAGCTGACACGCCCTTCATGGATAGGCAGTGCAACAAGCTGGTGCAGTCAGCAGCGTCGAAGGCGGCTTTCAGGTCAAGGGAAACCACCATAGTCGGTTGTCTCTATGTTTGTCTGCTCTAAAACTTGGTGGAGTAAATATGCGGTCGATGCAACCATGATCAGAGCAGAAGTCATTCTGGATTTCTGTGGATGTGTTCGACCAGTCATCACTGTGGAACTTAACAGACACCGCCACATTCTTCATGAACTGCACAAGGCAGTGTTTATAGTCAAGCGGCTGTTCAACTGCATGACCTAACCAGCGTTGATGACTGCAGTGAAACATCAATTGGTTTGGTTTACGCGATGCTCACCCGTAGATTATGGGCGGTAATCGAAAGCGAATTGGCTCTTGCGTCTTAAATGCATTATTTCCTTTTCTGTGTCTAACAGCGCAGTACCTGCCATCCTGCGACGGATTACACGATATCTTGATCGACTTGTTGACCTCCGGCATCCGGTCCTGCTGTTTCACCGCTTCGATGTGTGAACCCGTCAACCAATTCCACTAGTTTCTAGGCTACCGTGACAATAACTGATGGTGATCTGTTCCGGTCCGGTCATACAGGAGCACTACGTTTTAAACTTATGAGCTACATGCTAACTGTGTGTACTGTTCGGCAGCGCCTCTTTAGGGTTTGCGACCTTCCCCAGGGAAGTTGTGTTGGTTGTGTGCACTTTTTCAACAGGATACTCCGAGTGAAGCAACCGGAACAGAGTAACTCCTTACTATTTCAACCACGACACCGAGGTGCAAAGAAGCGATAGATCGATCCCGGTACGCGTTTTATTTGCCTAGATGTAAACAGCATAGCGTTTCCCTCGGGTCTCTTCGTACTGTTCTTGCACTCGGGTTGTTACAACTTCGTTGACATCTTTCAAGAATGGATTCCCATGAAAATGCTCGCTGCGGTTCAAGTCACACGCGCACTGTTCCGGTAATGCGCCTATGGTAGTCCATCCAACAGCGTTATACTCTACCGGTTTCCGTGCGAAAATCACTCTCGTTCCCTTTCTTGATCACTGGGTCTGCTGAGCGTAGTTGTGTAGGTTGTAGATAGAGATTTTTCTGGTGTTATTCTTCGATAACACGCTGTAACCAGATGTTTTCATACCTTGCTGAAATCCTTAATTCTGAATCTGTTTCAAGCATATGTCGAGATGTTTAAACTTTCTTCCTTGTTTTGACTTTTCTGGGAGTGCAACCCGAGGGTTATAGTGGCCGACGGCTGACACCTTGATCACTGGCACCGAGAGCGACGCTTATCACAGAGTAGAAATTCATTGCTAAGTCTTTGGGTGTCTACCATGTGCTTACATTGCTATGCAACGTCTCAATTCGGGCCACAATTTACTTTGTAGGCGATTTCGATTAGACTAGCGCTTCACTGATTGACACATCACACATCCCTTGATGTCTTCTTTGAGTATCAGTGCCGCTCAACGTCTTCCCACTTGAATGTATCCCACTGGCATTGCAATCAAGGCTGGTCGACATGCGATCTGACTTGTTCCACTAACTTCTGGTGCTACCAAGATACAGGTAGAATGTGCGGTCTACTTGGATCTGGCAGTGACTTACGAGACTCTGCAAAGCAGATCTCTATAGCCGCGCTGAGGATGTTGCCTAGTTTGGCAACTAAACGTCTGCAACAAAATTGCCTAACTCGGAGAACACACCAATCCTCTTATCCACATCCGGAGCTGCAGGTATTCTCATTAACTTTCTTCCTAATCAGTTATACCCTTTTGTCGAATAGAATGCTGATCATAATCCGGTCTTATGAGAACACAACTGCATTTCGTAATTGGCTCAAAGGTTACCTCGACCTGAATATGATTACGGCCTTGTTTTCACGGGGAAACTCTCTTGATGAACCCTTTCAAGTGGGATCTAGTGGATGGAAGTGGAAACGATTCACACGACGTTAGCGACCTGGAATGATGAGTACAGTGTCCAACAAGCTCCCTGCCCCATTTCACCAATCCCCGGGGGAAGTATCGAAAATGGGAACGACTGACATGATAATACTATCTTCATCCATCGACAAACCACCAATTTCTTTTTGGGACTCTAATACACTCCAGTTACGCAATGTTTCCACGCACACGCAATTCTGTGAACCATAGACGATAACGACCACGTATTACCAATGCAAGAGCATGACACCACCTGCGAGAAAATGATTTGTGCCAACTATGGATGCTGCTTCTTGTACGTTGAGAAATCATTCTATTGTTCGACGCAGATCCTTATAGTCACAGTTCTGAGTTTCGGAGTTTTTACCTAACTGTCACATGTTTCTCATCTATACGCAGCAGTAACAAGAGTACGATACCGAACATATATCGTTTTGCTTTGAGGACGTAGAACAATGGGAATATGTCCTCTGGGCCATCGATGTTCACACTCACATTCTCACTGCTTTGAACGGAATGTCTCACGAATGGTCCCCGCAATATTGATAGCTAGTCTTCGCCCGACCGGTCCACTGTATAGCAATGAGCTTTGTTAACCATTCATTGTCCTCCATTTCAAACCACAGTTCCACCAATCTGACCGTATGCACCTACAGAATTCCACATACCTCTTTCAGAAGATTGACGAAATACACAGGCGTTATTGACCCACCACTCACCTATTTCATCTTCAATCGGTCGCCTCCGTGCACGACTTGGGAGAATTTTGTTGTCTCATCTGGAATTCCCTACCGTTTTCTTCTGGCTAGTCACTCAGTTTCATTGGTCGCTCATGTAGACTGTCAACTGAATTTCTCCAATAATCGCTGTTCCTGTGTAAGCTCGTGAACTGTGCATCTCACCACTTCATCGTGTTTTGGGCTGTTGCAACGGAAAAACACGAAAATCAAGTCGTCAACAAACTTTCGCACGATCAGGGCAGTGAAAACCTCGGGCGTTGGATAAAGCACTTTCTGCTGATAGACCGGAGTTCTACAAGCGGTTATAGACAAATGAACGCGGTAGACTCACGAGTTCGGGGGTACTAATTCCACAATCATAATTAATGTACACATTAGTAGGAGTTTTTTATGTAATTCATTAATCCAGCAGGAGACCCATGTGTTCGATACATGTTGCGCAGTAAACGAGCAAGCATCTAGAGTTTTTAACTCGTTAGATAATATCAGTTAAACGGAAATTAGAATTATGTTCAGATCAACGTGAAGCTTTGTTAGTTCCTTGTGCCTTTTGAGTGGCTGGGTGGATAGAATTATGGACCGAGAAATTATGCCTGACTTTGGGTTACTTATACATTGTCAGTAGTATGGTTAACACCGTCGTGAGTGCAAGTTGAAATTCGCGCCTAACTGCATCGAAATCAGTCCAACTACCATGGCGGCCAGCCAAAAACATAACGATTTTCCTCTTTCTCATTGGTCTTAACCTGTGTATCACGTCCACCTGTCTAACGCAACTGCGACCGTGTTTTCGTGATCCCCACATTCGACAGAACCTGTAAAAGGCGACCACCACACCACAGTTTCAACTGCATGCGGGCGTGTGTTGAACTCACCATCTGCGCTCACACAAGTGTTCCATAACTATGTCATCGAGACAGTCGGCGATTCCAGTGTAACAACGTGAGTCTTTCTCACACTGATGTTCAAACATAGTTTTTGGGTAGAATACTGGAACACACGAAGTCACCGACTATGCGACTGGATGTATAATCGTGTGAACGACTGAGTTGCAGTAGACCTGCGGAGAAATGAGCACAATAACAATTTCAGCGCCCGTAGCGTGTTGTCACATGTCCTTACTGAGGGCCGG